TTTGGTAATGGTACTAGTGGTGGTCTTGTTGATCAAAATGGAAAAGGTGGTGGTCAGCAAGGTGATGATTATAATGTGTCATTATGACTGTGGTGGTGATGATGGTAGTGGTGATGATGGTCGTAGTCATAGTGTGGTGATAATGTGGATGATAATGATGTGTGGAGATGATGGCGGATAGTGGTTTGGTAGTGGTCATAATGGTGGTGGTCATGGTGTCGTAATTATGGTGGTGTTGGTAATGGTGATGATGGTGGTGTGGTGATAATGGTAGCGTGGTAGTGGTGGTGGTGACAGAGGTAGTGATGGTTATTATGGTGGTGTTGGTAATGGTGATGATGGTGGTGTGGTGATAATGGTAGCGTGGTAGTGGTGGTGGTGACCGAGGTAGTGATGGTTATTATGGTGGTGTTGGTAATGGTGATGATGGTGGTGGTGGTAACCACGAAACAGCGCTCGCAGATTCTTACATGGGAACCGATTGGATAGAATGCACGCACAAGTAGCGACGTGTCTCCTCTGGACCCTACATGTGTATTAACCTTGCCTATATCCCTTACCTTGTTGTCTATCTTTAATAGATGCGTATCGTGGGATGCACTGACAGCATTCATGATGGTATCTTTGTCAACGAACAGCTAGAAACACACAAACAAATGATAAACATGAATATTAATACTATGAAACAAAATATATGGTATAGCCAAAGATAGAGCAGTTTTCGTATGACTGTGAAAAGGTCACGGCACAAACACGGTCGTGACACGGCAAGGCATTCGTCAGACCAATCACATTGCATGGGAATTAAGTCTCCATCCAATCAAATGCCCGGAACTCGGCATTAACACGGCGCGTACACGGTCACGTCACGGTCACGGCACTGCGAGACCAACCCCATTGCGTGAGAAAAAAATCCGCTAATCAAAATTCTAGAAAACATCACGGTCACGGTGAGGTACGCATATGGCACCGACAGTCATACGAAAACTGCTCTAGGTGTTATCGTACTTACCATTCTCAGATCATCGGGTAAGTCTTCTTCCATCTCATTCTTCATCAGTTTTTCTA